CCTTAGCTCAAGCTGCCCGTGAAATCGTTGCTACTCTTCCCGAAGTCAACCTCGATGGTGTCTACTCTCAAGCTTCATACAATGAATGGTTCTCAACCGACAAATCAACTGGTTTCTTCGCCAATGGTCAATTCGTTGCCAACAACATCACCATTGTCCCAAGACACGGTTACCTTTCCCTCGGTTCCCACTGGAAGTCTCTCTCAAACCCATGGTTCACTGTTGCTTTCCAACAAAAAGGATTGGAAACCGCTTTGAAACAAATCTTGAACCCTGCTTCAGGTTCCTATGCCGTTGACCCCAAAACCATCGATGAACTCTGGAAAGACCGTAGTGTCAACCCCCGAGTTGAAGATGAATTCATGCTCAAATTGTTCGTTCGAGTTTATGAACAAACTTCTCTCTTCACCATGGACAAATACACTTTGCAAAACGCTTACGATCAATTCGTTCGAGTTATGCTTAAGTTTGTTAATGCTGCTTCTAATGATCGAGTTGACTTCAACTGGGTTCGATTCTACATGCCATCAACTTACACCGATGTTGTCCCAAGCGCCGTTGGTTTACCCATTCTTGCCACCAAACAAAACCGACAAATCGTTTCACTTCGATTGACCAAATCCGAATTCGAATCTAAGCCAATCTCTGAAATTACTACTGGCAGTATCACCTTCAAGGTTACTCCACAAGTTTTCTCATCATCACTCTTGTCTCTCGCCGTATTCAACCAAGGACTTAAGTCCAAGACCCATTATGGAGTTTACACCAACAAAGACTTCAACGTCTATGTTCCTGTTAGCTTCAGCTTCGGATGGGACTTCAACACCCGATTGTACACATACGCAATCAAGCCTGCCTTTGAACAAACCAACTTCCTTCAATCAAACGCCAACTATGCTTTCATCATTCCAAGCTACATTGGAACAACTAAAGTACGAGCCATCACTAAGGAAATCCAATCTTTGGTACCTGCTTACAACCACCCTCTTGTCCAATTCAAGAGCCGTGAATTAGGCATGAACTTGAACCTTGGCTTATCCACTGAACGACCCTGGTTCATTGACTTAACCGAGATTCCATGCGAAGGAACCGTTGCCTGGCTTTTGGAGAAATACAATGAAATGAACCAATTCAACAACAACATCAACTTGACTCTTGTTCAAAACGAGGAATACCCAGCATCTGGTTTTGTTGGTTCATTCAGATATGAACAAGACATTGATGGTGAATACGTTGCTATTGGTGAAACTAACCCATCAGAAGAAACTAATGCACGAAGAATCGTCCAAGATTTGATCCAACGATACCCATCCGAAATCAACAACCCTGCATTCTTTGCTCGATCCATCGAATTCTACCTCGCTACTTTCGGACACCCAGAACCCACCGAATTCAACTCAACCCTTACTTTAGGAACTGCTATTGACAACCATGCCTATTGGTTCAGATTCAACTCAACCTTAGACAACAAAAACGAAGATTTGTGGACCCGAGTTGCTCGAAAAGCTATCATTGATGGTAAAGTAGAACGACCAGTTATCCCAAGCGATCTTTTATGGAGAAACCCTGAAAAATTCATCGGTAACTACATCGCCAACATTGCATGGGCCAGTAATGTTCGATCAGAACAACCCGACTCTAACATCTTGGTTAAAGGTGAACTCCGACGATCACCACGAGACCCAGTTATTCCTGAAATGGAACGAGAATCATGGTTCCACAAACAATGCAAAAAGGACATCAAGAACGGTAATGCCACCAACCACGCCTGTGAACGAGTTATCGCTGAACAAGCATACTTCAATGTTGTCACCGGAAAGATTGAATTCCGAGAAGTCCAAGAACCTGTCCGAGAATCAATCCGAAAGGTCTACTCTGAACTTAAACGATCCCTCATGTACTACTGGAAGCCATGGTCAAACATCTCATCTGAGAGATTCGAAGGTGAACAAGATGTTGTAACCTTTGCTGCCTCTTACTCCAACATCATCTACAAACGACCAGTAATCAATTTCTTCGTTCAAACCCCAACTGAAAAGGTTAACTTCACCAAGATCTTTGTTCCAGTTGCACTTTTCCCCACAATGCACCCAATCAACTACCTTAAAGCTTCACCAATGCCAAAAGACCAAACTTGTACTCTCATGAAGGATTCCATCCGAACCTTTGACAATGTCACTTACCGAACCTGGTTGGACGAATGTGAATTCATTGCTTCAATGGATTGCTCACAAAGCCAAAAGTTCGCTGTCACCGTTAAAGGACAAGCTGGTAAACGAACCGTAAGAGTCTACACTCCACTCCAAAACTACTACAAACTCTATGATGTCAAGAAGGATTCTGCTAGTTTGACTGTCTACAACAGTTTCGATCAACAACAAGGACCTGACTATGTATTAACTCCCGGTAAACCCGCCATTCGTTTAGACATGTTACCAAACACACGATACCATGAAGCTCACCAAATCTTCATGCACGATGGTGTTGTTAACGTTGTTTTACCCAAAGAAAATGTTCGAGTTGCTTTTGATGGACATTACTTGAAGATCACAACTTCACCTCTTTTCGTTGGTAAGACCTGTGGTCTTTGCGGTAACCAAGACCAAGAATTCTACCCTGAATTCTTAGACCCTGGAATGGTTAATCTTGCATCAAACCTCACCGCTTTCCGAGACTCATACTCACTCCACAACTGCACTGACCCAAACCCATGTCACGATGACGTTTGTGATGTTGACGCAATGGCTCACCCAAGAAGATCACCAAAGTTTCTCTCTGCCGGTAAATCAGACAAGAAGGCATCTATCCAACCTGAGTTAAGAACCATAGTCATCAAACGAGAAAATGACATCTGTTTATCTAAGTTCCCTGAATTCATGTGCCCAAAGAACTTCAAACCTACAACAACTACATCTAAACAGATTGATTTGGTTTGTCTACCTAACGCACACCCAACCGCCCACCTTTGGGCTAAAGAAGCTGAAAAACGTCTCATTACTGAAGTTAGAGACTTTGACAGCACTGAAACCTCAACTTACGACAGACCAACTAAGTGTGTAGCTGAATCAGTTCGAGGAATTTAATAAGTGATCTTTGTCCTCTTCTGTTCCCTGTTAGTCCCATAAGACAAACGTAAAACATTTACAAATTTATAAATATTACTGTAAAGTTGTTCTGAAAAGGCATTTTACAAATTAAAAAAAAACAAATTTTAATCTATATAAATAATTATGATTAAATAAAGTAATTAAAATATTACATTTTATTTACATTTTATTTCAATACATTTACAAAACTAATTATAACGAAATAGTAAGTGATCAACAAAAATCAACTGTTATATCAATTAATTGACTTTGAACAAGACATTTTCACGAATCAATCCAAAACTATGAAACAATCAACAAGAATCAACTGTTCAATTGTTATATCCATTAATAAACTTTGAACCAGATACTTTGAAGAATCAATCCAAAACTATGAAAATAAAACAATCAAATATTCCCTGGTTTGAATTACCGGACATGAGATGAATATTGATCAATAGTGTTTTAGTGGATAAAATAAGCTTATTCAGTTGATTAAATAAATTTGATTCTTAAGTCTGTTAGCTTTCGGTGTAATATCTTGACAACACATCTAACCAGTATCTTGGGGTAGTTTCATAAGTTACAAAGAATGAGATTTTGAACACTTTTTGATATTGGATTTAAAGCCTTTCGTTAAAATGAAGATAAAAATTTTAAAAATATAACACTAAAATAATCAACGGTGATATTCGGGTCATTTTAATAGCAACCATATAAAACGAAACCTAGCAGCAATGTAATGTTTAATTCCTCATCATTCAAATCATTGAAGTTGGTCCCTCAAATTCGCTGAGATAATGAACGAAGGAATAAACACAACTCTGATCGGTTTTAACTTTTGTTTAGTAGATATACACTTCTTTACATTTTTTAAAAACTTCTTTGTCTTCATGTGAACTAAACTCAGATCAATGAAATTTTTCGTAATCAAAACCAAGTATTGATCAGTATTGCTGTCAGTCCAGAATCTTTATGATTCAATCGAGGAGCCGAGGTGTGGAGACTTTTCGAGAGGTAAACATGATGGTATTTGAAGGAACATCTCATCGTCAAATAATATAAATGAAGCCAGTAAGTTTAGGTATTAGGTACAAGGTAAGAATTTGATGACTCGGTGAAACTTTCAATATATCAGACTTTCGATTTCGTTCTCTAAAAATTCTCTATTCGGTGACATAGCTGTGAGATTGTATTCCAGTCAAATTCATATGCAAAATTTAACATTTAAAAAGCAATGGCATGATTCATGAAATTCAAAGAAAATCAAAGTGGATTTCTGTTAAATCATCTTTAAGTTTATATTTTTTGTATTGAATGATAAATCGTTAAATTCAAACAAAAACAACACTTTGAGTAGTAAATTATCGCAAAATTCCGTCGATCAACAATTTTTTATCAAATATGACTGGAAATTAATACTTGCGCTTGTTAACCAGATTTGAGTTTGCAAGCAGTTTTAGGTACTCGACTGTAACTCGATGCTACTAACTTTATGTTGAGGGTTTTCTTCAACTAACAAATTCTATCACTAACAGTTTTGGGTCAGTTAAAAATACTGTTTGCATTCAAATAATTTGGTAAATCATCTCATGAGACCATCATGGACTAAAGATACTGATTGATACTGAAAAGCTCATGGATTTTTCACATTTTGCTGTTTAATTTAATTGTGATCAAACTGACTCTGAGTAAACATGTAATACTTGTACTAAAATGATTATTTAGCATTGATAATAACTGATGTTCAATCGAACGGGTTACACTATTAGAATGACGATTCAAGTAGATCTCAGATTCATGGAGACTATGATAAGAACGAGTAAAAATGCTGAGTTGAGTGGAAGCAAATTTTTCAATTAACGTCGACTAAACAAGATGATTTGATTGATTGAGATAAGGTCAGAGGAGTATAAAAGGTTGATGTTTGAGGAAAGAAACTTCAGTCTTCTCCTTTTGGAACAATACGATTGGAGAAAAGCAAAATGAAGATTTGTCTTAGTATTTTGGCACTTCTTGTCGTCTCAGCTTGCGCTGTTGAACTCAAGCCCAAACCTTTAGGTAAGTTTCCCATTCATATCAATGTTTTAATTTGTATCTTGACCCATTCTCATCACTAATCATTTTTTCTTGTTTTTTATTTCTTCCCATTCACAGATTACGAGCTTAACAAAAAGTATGTCTACGAATACACTGGAAACGTTCTTACTGGAATCCCATCCAGTTCCAGCCTCTACTCTGGTACTCAATTGAAGGCTAATGTTGCCATTTCCCACTCCAACGACCGAACCGACTTGTACACATTGAAGTTAGACAATGTTACTTTCGCATCACTTATTGATGAGGTTACCGAACCAGCAAAGGCCAACTTTGCTCGTTGGGAAGCTGTTGAACAGAAAAACCAAGAACTCTTGGAACTTACTGTTCAATACCAAGTCAACAAAGAGACCCAGCGATTGGAGTACATTGAGGTTCACCAAATGGATGTTCCTTGGTCACTCAACATCAAGAAAGCCATCATCGAGATGTTCTTGGTCGACATTGCTGGTAAACAGTTGAAGTTGGCTCCTGGTTACGAACACGGTCTTACTAAACACTCTCAAGATGAGGTTCATCATGCTTTTGATGTCTACGAACCAACCCTCAAGGGTGAATGTGAAACCATGTACCAAGTCATCAACGCCTTACCTGAAAACGTCAATGGTTTACCTGGAAGTGAACAATTCTACTGGAAGGTCATCAAGACCCGAAACTACCAAAACTGTACCACCACTCCTCGATTGACCCAACACAACTGGGAACGAAAGGGATGTGTTGAATACTGCAAACAAGCTTTGATTGTTGGTCTCACCAAGATGAACAACTATTACTCAGCTGAGAAGTCTCAATGCAACTGCAATGATATTGAAATCGAGCCTCTTGACCAACAATTGACCAGCACTTACTCCATTGAATGTATGGAAAACCCCTACATTTTGAGCGCTGAAAGCAACGGTAAAGTTACCTTCGACAACCATGGTACTCGATTCGTTACCTACACCAACCAAACCCTTAAATTTGTCCGAATTCATGGTGGTATCATTGATCCAATCAACACCAACTACGCTATTCGAGCTCAAAACTTGACCTTCTCTCTTTACCCATACTTGGGTTCAGTTGCCTATGTTTTCAACCACGAAATCCCAGTCTACAACCTTTTGGTTCCATCAGGATCTCAATCAACTTTACTCGATACTACCGTTGAGTTGTTGAACCGAGTTGCTGAAACTGTCATCGAAGGTGATTCCAAGAACCAACAAAAGGTCGCTAGTCTTATGCAGAAGATTGTTTCCCGATTGGCTCATCTTGACTCAAACCACATCATGAATATCTTCAGCAAATACTGTAATGTCCCAGAAGCTAAACTCTACACCAACACCTTGGAATCAGTCCGAAGACAATTGTTCCTCGACGCTATTTCTCACGTTGGAACCCAAAATGTCTCAATCTGGCTTGAACAAGTTCTCGGCTGGAACTCAAATGGATTATCCCCAATTGAAGTACGACAAATTGTCGAAACTTTACCCCTCAACGTTTACGCTCCAACCACCCAATTGATTGAGTTATTGGAGAAGAAGATCAATGGTTACTTCCAAGAAGAAGATTGGGATTCCCTCTCTGCTTTTGTCATCGCTTACGGTAAACTCATTGCCAAGGCTTGTCCAAACCCAGAAGTCTACCCTGAATCTGACAACGAAATCACCATCGATGAAACTCGAGTAAACAACTGGTGGATTTTCGAAGAAGACAAATGCACTGCCCAACAAACCCTCCAATACATCAAGGCTTTGAGCGCAAAACTTATGGCTGCTAAATCTGTTCGTGGTAAACTTCTGATTGCGCAAGCTTTGGCTCACACTGGCAAAGCTGCAGCTCTTGAAGAGCTTGAATCTTACGTCAAGGATGAACTCAAAGATGAAATCAAGGATGAACTCAAGACTCAAATTTCTGATGTTTCTGACCTAACCTTCTTCCGAACCTCAGTCATCTACTCTCTCCACCACATGATTTCTGTTGCACCTAAACGAATCCGATCCCTCGTTTTACCCGTTTTCAACAAAAAGACCGAATCTTATGAATTGCGATTGGCTGCTTTCACCGTTCTCATGTCTGCTGGACCTAAAAGACATGAACTTGACTCAGTTGCCGTTTCCCTCCGAAACGAAACCAACCATCAAGTTATCACCATGGTTCGATCCATCTTGGAAGAAACTGCTAACCTCACCCAAGCTTGCCACCAACCCTTAGCTCAAGCTGCCCGTGAAATCGTTGCTACTCTTCCCGAAATCAACCTCGATGGTGTCTACTCTCAAGCCTCATACAATGAATGGTTCTCAACCGACAAATCAACTGGTTTCTTCGCCAATGGTCAATTCGTTGCCAACAACATCACCATTGTCCCAGGACACGGTTACCTTTCCCTCGGTTCCCACTGGAAGTCTCTCTCAAACCCATGGTCACTGTGCTTTCCAACAAAAGGATTGGAAACCGCTTTGAACAATCTTGAA